TGATTTTAACCTTAAAACCACAGTAGTTTGCTAAAATGCCAAGTAAACTGCTGGAAGTATAGGTGGTCACTTAAAATTTATTTTACTATCAACATTGTCTTTGTTTTTCAAAGACGATTACTGTGAATCATAATTTTTACCTTCTGAGCCCACTAACAGCCCAGTTCTCCAGCTGTTACTTTGAATAGGCTCCCTGAGAGCAAAAAAAGGGACAGGAACTGGAGCAGAGAGTTAAATTTCTTACCCCACTTGAAGTGTAATGAGTTTGGCCTTGAACAGGCCAGGAGCATCCACCAAAATGCAATAATTCAATACGTACAATCCTAGTGCATTCTCCTTGCACATGGGTGGGTGTGTGTGGACAAACAAGGTTTGATCATTATAAGAATTCAGGAAAAGACAACGTGAACATCCAGCTCCAAATCCTAGACAATTATGAAAAAACTGCAACTGAGTTTTTGTGGTTTTAACTTCTTGAATAGTCCATGTGATATTTAAGCCTATTGTTAAGCAACACACCATAAAAATCCTTCATCACTTGCTAAAGGTAGGAAAATTTCCACTGCATCACTCCCAGGTATTGGTCCAACGGAATGAGATGAATCAGGACCACAGGTTCAGAGGAGCCTGGTGCATGTTCTCGCAGATGGTGCTGTACCTTTCCATGAAACAAGAGCTATGTTTAATTTAAGACAAATCTGAAAAGGTTTTTGTCAGCCACACAAATCACACATCCTAGAACTAGGGGACATTTAAAAAAACCATTTCTTTCACAAAGTGAGGGCCACAGATCTCATACCTGTTCAGACCCACAAAATCAATACCATAAATAACTCTTATGTGGTATGATATTACTGCTCTTTCCAAAGGGTTTTACAAGACCTGTAAGAGCAACTATATTTTAACACAGGAATATCAACTGTTGTTATTAATAAGTTTTAACTCATTAAAATTATTTTCCTCACTGGACACCTGCCATGCAGAAATTACATTTCTTTTGCTGTTTTTATTAAACTTTGAATAAACAAAAATGTGAATTTTTTCCTTAATGAGATCTTAGCTACATTTTACAAGGACTCTGAATCAAAAAAAAAACCATTAACTTGTCTTCTTGAGCAATTTCATTTGCTTTTGTTCCCTGCTGTGCTGGAAACACGCTTTGTGCATGCTCTCAATCAGGTATCCCAACAGTTTATCAGGTAGCACAGCGTAACACAAATACTGTAGTTACAGATTAGCTGTTCCCTGCTGCCATTCACTTTGTGGTTTAGATCCCTTGTCACTTACAAATCAAAATGTTTATGTACTCAATTATAGCACTTCCAAATGAGAATAAAAGGTATTCCATTACTCCCAAGAGGACGACGGAAAGATTTGTGTGTAAAGTACCGTAATACTCTTAAGTTCCCTCAGTTTCATATTTCTCCATGTCTTACTGCAGCAGAACATCCCACAGCGATCTAACATTTATAAAAGGGTTACGCACACACACTATATTAGAGCTCCATAACTAAAAATTGCTAAAAGATTGCTGAAAAGAGTCCCTGGAATTTTTGGCACCCACAGCCATCAACACAGCAAACTGCCGCTTTTTGTTTAGCCAAAGCCTTGGTCAAATGCCACAGAAAATATCCTGCTACTGGCTCTGCCCTAAGATGCACATTTCACTTGGGAGAAGGATCAAGAAAACGATCAAAATGCGTTGTGGAGAAAAAGCAGTACAAACAATATAAGTACTATGAGTACAGGGCTGAACTTTACCAAAGTACAGGCAAAGACCAGATTATGACCATTATAAACACATGCACAGGTGTTGGGAAGGGAAATTAGATGTTTCTCCTCCAGCAGCGGCAAATATACAAGCCATAATATCATCCTAAGTGTATTATTTTGCCCCAAAGACACAGCCTACCAGGCTAGGAGAGAGGGCTCGGTGCATTACCCCTAAGGTACAGTCATCAGCTCCTGCTGATGTTCCCAACCCTGCCAACCTCAGGTGTCTAAAAAGTGCTGTGTCTGCTCCTGGTCCAGTGCACATTCTTGGGTGATGGAACAAGGGCACATTCTGGATTTTCACCAGTTAAAAGAGAGTAATTAATCTTAATTCTTTTCTCTCTGAAAAATAGAACTTCTATAGCTTGAGGGAAACAGAGCTCTCAGTTGTTCTGTGGCAAATTAATCTTAGAGGGGGAGTCTTCCAAAGAAAATCAATAGCTTATAACAAGATTCTGTATTGTGTTTGAGCCCTGAAACTCCATCTAGAATCAAAGGGTACTTTCAGCATTGAAAATTTGCTCCCGTTGTGCTTTGTTTCTAACACAGTGTCATTTGAAAACATGAGATTTACATGTATGAACGATTTTAGTTATGTGTGGCTTCACCTTCATGGAAGACTCTAGTAATATTTAATACAGACTGTAAGATTATAGGTATTTCAGGCAACTCTGAAGAAATTATTCTCAAAAGAAGGAATTTAATAGGGAATTGTATTTCTTATCCTGCCTGTAATATCCTATATCTAAGACATCCTTATTCATTTGTACCTTCCTAAATTAGTCTGTTCCATATGAGAAATTTTGAAAATTATGTCTCCTCACATGTTTAATCTCTTTTTTAAAAAAAGAAGAACCTAATTAATTTCACCATGATGCCATGGAAACAGCTTTAAAATTAATTTGGGTGCAGGGAGGAAGGATACAACTCTAACACAGAGGAAGAGACAGGTTTCAGAAGAAAAAAAGTCTGTCCTCACTCAGCACTGGGATCTTTGAGAAACAATAATGCATAGCAAGGCAAGGGAATCTTTTCAGACTATAGTGAAGCAAGATTTCTCTAGCACTCTCTCCAACATGGTTCATTACCAAACTAAGGTGCGATAAGGAGAGGCGGAATGGGGCGGAGGCATACAAGCCTGCAGGAACAGGAAACTTGAAATGAAACCACTGGAAAGCACCGGTAAAGAATGCCAGAGTTCTCAGATGAGTACTGTTATTGTAAAGACAGTGCAGTACGGGTTGGAGAGATCATGTATGGATCAAAGGAAATGAACCTGTTAGAAATCAGAATAGTTAAGTCTGTTAACTCATTCCCACAAAAACCTGTTACAGCCTGAGGTCTGGATGCGAGTTTTGCGCAGTGAATTGCGTCTCTGACACTGAGAGGTCTCCAGCAGAGCCTGGACACTGCGATGTGCTGAGGCCCCTATCACGCATTGCCATACCATGTGTTATGCAAGACGAGAACTGCACTGGAGAGCAGGCTCCTTGCAGTGGGTCTAGGGCAAATATCCTATATGTGGTCATATATGCATCAGGAGTCTTATTTCCATGAGTCCTATCAGTAAAGATGAGAGTTTGACATTGACTCAGAGCTTCCATGGGTGGAAGGAGAATTTGGTCCTTAATTTTACCCATTCCTGCACTAGACATTTTGGTTTGTTGGATAAACTAAGTTAATCAAATTCATTGTTATTCTTGGACTTTGTACAGAAGGCATTCTAGTCTAAAGCAGATTTCATCACTTATTTCCTTGATAATTCACAAGTTTGGCTGTCAGAGTGAATAGTTGTACATAAAAAGAAAAATATGTTACTGAACCTAAAACTTTCAGTGAGTGCACAGTCCCCCAAACCATGATGTTATCAAAGTTCAGTAGTACCACACAGTGATGACTAATGAGCCCATAACCTCTGTGTGCTGTAGAGTAAATGCTCCCATTAATTCTTCACAAGACCTGCACTCATCCTGCTTCCTAGCTGTCAGATTTTAGTAGATTACTTCATTGGCTACTTGGACATTTTTACTTTTTCATTTCAGTTTGGTTTGTTTGCTTCCCTTAAAAAATGCCTACTGTGTGAATTGTGAAAAGGTCAACCAATAGTTCTCAATCCAGACAGGACAGAAGTAACTGAAATCAGCAGTAATTTTGACCCTTACCTTATTTTTTGGTCTGTGAACTGTTAGCTGTAAATAGCAAAGCTATGTGCCAAAGATCTTCTAATCTTACTAATGCAAATATTCTCTTTCC